GGCCCCAATGTGGGTCAGTGACCTGTGCCCGGGTGGGCTAATCCCGTAAAAAAAAAAAAAATTAAATTGTGCAGGCCGGGCAGTCACTCCGTTGTTTTGTTACGCACTACAGTATTACCGAGTCCTGGGTATGTACACTCACGCGCCATAGTTTCGATGTACCATCAAGCCCCTACTCCCTCGGGGGAAGTCATAGTCAGGGCTGCAAACCGAACGGTCCCTCTTGTATTTTTTTTTTATAGTTTATTGGGCACCCCCCTACACCCTGTGCAAGGTGAAGCGCAGAAGCGCTTACAGCGCCCATTTGGGGGTGCATGCTAAGTTCATGCTTGCCTTTATGTCTCATAAGTTAAGGGCGTAGAAGCTTGAAGAGTCATAGGTCTTTGTCAGCAAGTTATTGGAAGCTCCAACAACTTTCCCTGAATACGAATTCGCAACTTTTCGATTTACAACAGGTACCTACTTTACTGCTTGGTGAACAGGGCCTCTTGTATAGTGATGTTAAGTATAGTGATGGTAAATAAAGTGTCGTGAAGTCACTAAAAAAACCTGTATCGTGCATATATTCTCTCAGATATTACATCATGAACTGCTATTCGTACAATACAGCGAAGCTTCGAGCTATCACATTGCACCACTGAACGACTATGGGGCGTGAGTGTACAGTAGGCGATTGTCAATAGTCCTGAACATTATAAGTCTTATCCTTCATCAGTTGATTATATACCTTTTCTTTTTGTTGAGAGAAGAAACTATACCGCCTTAACTTGTTGTGTTCCGCATGTTCTTTGGGAGGTATATAGTGGTAAATTACCCATATATGTCTATCGTAAGTTTTTCCTTCACTCACTAAAGATTATTTACGTGAATCTTAACTAAATCAACCATGGACCCTTATTATTTTATCAAAACTAAGGCGACAGGTTTCAAATTAACTGCAGACACAAAAGCAAGGTGGTTTATCTGTCTATTTTCTTATCATTATATAACAGTTGATGTGGACTCCGATCAAGTGGTAAAAATCCATATATAAGATACCTCCTTCTGGTACTTTACCTTTAATTATCAAGGCTTCAAAGATGGCACTATACAGTCTTTGAAGCTTGTGTGGGTGTGTTAAGACGTTTATACTTTGTCTGAAGGGAGAAAAACTAGTTGACAGTAATTAATAGACCCATTGACTCTCTTTAAAAATATTGTCTAAAACCGTCTTGTGTAGGGTGCGCCTCCTCCTGGATGGGGGGTCGTGAGGCTGGAGGATGACTTGCTACACTTACCTCTCTTATACTTGTATATAACGCACCAGATTATGTCGTTTATATTAGCGGATATATTTACATCTTAAAATATAAACAGGGATGCGGTAGTCAAAGTTGAAAGGAAATAAAGTTCTATAGATCTGGTCAATACAGTCACGACAGTTGAGAAAATTATGACTGACTATGAAATAGTAAGTGTGGAGGTGTACGTCAACTCCCACCAACAGGACCCCACCCCCACCCCAGTAACACCACATCTTCAGAGAAAATAAACTTCTCTCTTACTGTTCGTTGATATAATATGGAAATTGTTGGTATTGTTTTCAGTATACGTTAGATGGCAAGTATACTGTATTACGTATTAACACTAGTAAAGAAAGAGCAGCGTTTGGAGTAGTGAGTCAGCATGTACGTGTATATGTGTATGTATATACGTATATGTATGTATATATGTGTGTGTGTGTGTGTGTTTACATATATGTATATGTACTGTCAATGAATATGATGCAACTCTTTGTGTACGAACCTCTGTCCTGCATGGCAGTGAACAGTGACATTACCCATATGAATCTGACCTATATACATTTATAGTTGTTAATGAATATGATGTATTCCTTTGTGTGTGAACCTCTGTCCTGCGTGACAGTGAGAAGTGATACCACCCTCAGTGTCAAGACCTGACTGAATTACTCAGAATAGGCAAACTGTACTACAAGCTCTGCCAATAAATTTGTTAAACTAAAAAAAAGACTGCTCACACCAATCAAGGACACCCGATATTAACCTTCAAGGTTACGTTTACACTTCGCTGCATCTCCGACCTACTCTTGCCATCTGTTGCCACCCAGTCACACCTCTTCCCTCCCTGACCAGATATCCCTCCTTCTAGTCACAGGCCTGGCACTTGACATTATTAGGGACCTGCCACGCTTTGCTATAAACAGATAAATTGTACCGGGAATTCCCGCCTCCCCCCACACACTCATCATTCTGTCACTTTATGTAACTTGCTGACAAAACCCATGACCCTTCAGGCTTTTACGCCCTTAATGCACGAGTCATAAAGGCAAGCATGAACTCCTCCTGCCTCTCAGTTGGGCGCTGTAAACGCTTCTGCGCTTCACCTTGCACAGGATGTAAGGGGGTGCCCAATAAACTAGCCCCCTCGTGGGCAATTTGTAAAATCTGTAAGCTATGGTATAATTACTATCTTAACAGTTATGACTATTTCACGCATATGCGAAATAAACACGTATTACGCAAAACAAAGGCTTATATGAACACATGCATCTAATGACACAATCACACACACACACACACACACACACACACACACACACACACACACAAGCGGTTAAATTTACTGGACGAATTTTGTGGTGTTAGAAGTCAACAACTGTGTCGAGTCATCAGGTAGTGTCGGGGATTTCCACATACTTACGATTCAAAACAATGGAAATGATCGGGGTGTGGAAAGGGGGGTGTATAAGTACGTTGGACTGATTTTATAAGTGTTGATTTGATTTTTTTGTTTGTGTTGGTTTAGTTTTCAGCGCCTCGTAGATAATTAATGCGTAGGTGGACCATACTTTTCCCAGTACATAGATGAGTGTGTGGGGGGGAAGGGTAAACTTTACCCTTTACTGCAGGTATTGGGAACGCATTTAACTGCACCGGTTGAGCCTTTTTTATTGCAATGAGACGAATGATGTTGAAACTGCAAGGAGGCGAATGGTGTTGAAACTGCAATGAGGCGAATGGTGTTGAAACTGCAAGGAGGCGAATGGTGTTGAAACTGTAATGAGGCGAATGGTGTTGAAACTATGAGGCGAATGGTGTTGAAACTGCTATGAGGCGAATGGTGTTGAAACTGCAATGAGGCGAATGGTGTTGAAACTGCAATGAGGCGAATGGTGTTGAAACTGCAATGAGGCGAATGGTGTTGAGACTGCAAGGAGGCAAATGGTGAGAAACTTAATACCCCATACATTAACATCTATAAGAATAGACACATCGTGGCAAAATATATTCACACGAGATATTGTGGTAAGATGCCAGTATTTATCCAGGTACTACTAAGCAATTATATGTGTGTGGTGGTAACACAGCGAGGAGGAACACAGGTACCTCTACATGTGGGTCAGAGAAAGGTGTCTAACAGAGGGTGACGTTATGTAAACATTTTGTGGCTGGCAACTTCATGCACCTGTCTGGTGGTGGTGGTGGTAGTGATTATGGTGCTACTGATAGTGGTAGTGATTATGGTACTACTAATGGTGATAGTAGTTATGGTGCTACTGGTGTTGGTAGCGGTTATGGTGCTACTGATGTGATATTCGTTAATGGTTATGATGACACTGGAGCTGGCAGTGATTGTGTTGTTAGTGGTAATCGTCGTCATTGTCGCTGTTTTTATTAGCTGTGGTGTTACTGGTGAGCGGACGTCTGGGCCACGGTTAGGTTAGGTCCTCACTACCCTGGCCTAAACCAAACGTGCTGCATTAGGTGTTACTACAACTGGTGGTGGTGACAGTGCGGCCACAGCTTCACCAAACAACTGTCATTTCCGTTCATTCATATCCTGTTTCTTTTACTTTACTCTATCCTTCTCACCTCTTATTAGCCGGTCCATCTGTAACTTCTGTTCTCTATTACACACTGTTGACAAATACTGGGCATGTACTGTACTGCACGGGCTCTTGAATGTGCTTGTATATGTGCCACACTTAAAAGTACTCACAGGTTTGGTTAAAATTCATTGTTGTACTCGTATGTTATGAGTTATACTGGACAGTATTGTTGACAACTCATGGACGGAAGATAATCTAGTGCACACCCCTCTCGTGGGAGGTCAAGGCTACAATGAGGGATGCAGTATACTGTAGGACTTACATTGTAGGTGCTACTTAATTTCAACTATAGTACTACTAACTCAGGCTGTACAGATTAGCAGTGCCCGGCTGCCCGTACGTGTCGGACGAGGGACCTAGCAGGTGATTGATTTTTTTTATGTCCATGTGCGCAGCACCTGCCCAACGGACAAGCTAATATTTTGAGAGGAAAATACAGGGAGGTCGGTCAGCAGTGTACCAGGATTAATGACCTATGCTGTATGTCAGGTGCAGATAATTTATCTATACATTAAGCAGTCAACCCACCTCTATTCAGTCGGTGATGTCAACATTTCAAAGGAACGACCAAACTGAGAGGCTGTAAAGATAAGGTGGCAGGAGCTATGACCTCACATGTTACCGCTACTGACACCAGATTATTGGGGGGCTGATGGCAGGGCAGGTGATCACAGGAGCTGCCTCTGCCTACACAAACACCCTGCAAGTGTGAGGTGAGGTGACAGGAGTTATGACATCACATGACAAAAGTTACCGCCACTAACACCATTTAGACGGACACAAGTGATCTGTGAGTTGACACACAACAAATTTGAATGTTTTCAAATGTTTATTTAATTTTTCCCATAAAAAAATACGAGCAAGCAAATTTCTACCAAATATTTGTCAGGGCAACTAACAAAATATCCAGGCAAGGACATTTCAGAAGTCACTGGCCCAGGACAAGTAAATGTTCCACATAATCTGCACAGCCTGACTGAACTATTACAATACTATAGCGAGTGGTGCAGCAAAACTGTGCAGTACTTTTACGTTATTGGAAACTGGCCTTGATAAGACTCTGTTACCATATATTCATGTTAACTGAGGATGTAACAAACCATCTACTTACGGTTGTCTCAGCGATTTTTCGACGACATATAGACAAATTTGTCATTTTCTGGGTGCGTCCGTTATCGCAGTAAATTGACATATTTCACTTGCGATTCCTTGAGTATCCGACACTAGTCATTTACATAACATCAGTAAAAACTTCAGAAAATTTATTGTCACTTCCTTGTCAACACTGAGTAAACAAAAACACAACCATATGAAATAAAACAACGGAAATTAGTTTAGTTGTATGATCCTGTCACAGAAAGTTGATAACAGTATTATCACAGAAAGCAGATATATCAACACTTCACCTCGGTTTAGATACTGTAGAAATGAAGGCGTTACAGTATAACTGTACTCGTAGTATCTGGGGTAAGTACTGCACTGTGTGCCGTCTCCACTCGCCTTCGTCTCGTTGCTAACTAAGATTGTTGGGAGTGAATAGTGCACGATCATCCCCTACCAGCACTGAACAACTACTACTCGACCACGCTGCCAGACGCACACTGCTGTTACGTACTAACAGCTGAGTACAACAGCAGCTGTTGTACTCCATGCAGACTCTCACTGTTGCTAGTGTCACACGTGTCATCAGTGCTATGTTCCAGTCGTCGAATTTTATTTTTTTTTTTTTTGGGGGGCACTCCCCTACAGCCTTGTGCAAGGTGAAGCGCAGAAGCGTTTACAGTGTCCAACAGGGAAGCATGCTAAGTTCATGCTTGCCTTTATGTCTCATGAGTTAAGGGCGTTGAAGCCTGAAGAGTCAAGGGCATAGAAGCCTGGAGAGTCAATGATTTTATGTCATCAAGTTATTGGAAGCTCCAACAACTTGTCCCTGAATACGAATTCGCAACTTTCGATTTACACCAGGTACCTACTGTGCTGCTAGGTGAACAGGGACTAATGGGGGCTAGGAAGTATGTCCAAACAACTTCCACCGGCCCGGGAATCGAACCCGTGACATCTCGCTTGCGAAGGCAAGAGCGGTACCACTCTACCACCAGCACCCCCGTCGACTCGTATTAGTGTGAATGATGTTTGTCGGTATGAATGATTAGCATCTGTGTGAATAAGTTGTGTCACTTCGACTGACTTCAGTCACCGTTAATGACATACAGTACAGTAAGTGTGAATGATTTCTGCATTAAGTTTCCCATTTACCTTAAAACAATAAAAGGCAGCAAGTTACCATAGACAATTTGTAAGTTTTGATTCTGACGCTGTTTTGATGTTCATTATATCTTGTCTCAGACAGGTACAGTCACCCAAAAAACTCCTGTCGCGAACCACGATTCAGACTCGTGAACCCGAATCAGTAGATACTGATACATTATTCTGACCATAAATGCTTCGGATTCAAGAGTCTGAATCTCGGGGTTCATGGTTCGCGACAGGACTTTTTTGGGGTGACTGTACAGTAAGTGTGTTTGTTCTTTATGGGTAAATATGAGTGAACGAATACAGTACAGTGCAGAATATATAATTTGGATGCGGTATCTCACAAATATTTACATTTGCGGATTCGGATGTAGAATTTTTTATTCAGTAATATAAGTACAATTAATAGTAATGGTAATACAGTTAGAAATGATAACATTAAATTCACTGCCTTATTTCTGAGACATGTCAGACTTCACCTCTTGTTTCGATGACATGACACGGGTCACAGTGGAGTCGCTCCTCACTTACCAAATGTGCCCATACCAATGACGTGCACGTTGACTACATCAGGAAGGACGTCCCCTGTCAACTTCTCGGCCTCCTCTTCGCAGCTGCAACTACCGACCCACACGTCATCACACTCACACTAAAAGGTCTGTCCTTTAATACTGCCAAATGCCCATGTACCCCCTCCACCCATCACCGTGCCACAGCACTTTCTTCAGCCCCCTCGAGGGGCAAATTATAATTATCCAGCCGTCACCAACACCCCTTCCTCCTGACCAATATCCCTCCTGCAGATTGTTATTGATATTGAAACAGTTTATTTCGCCAGAAGAACACAGATACAGAGTCGATTAAAAATCATAATATTAACATGGCTGAGCCAGTTGAGAGCCTGAGCTCTCTTGTAGGCACCTGATATATACTGTACATTTATCTCAAGGAAGTATTATGTAACATTTAGTATCATCTGGAATAGTACACGTAACATGGTGGTAATAAGAACATATCAGAATGTTACCATGGTTATCACTTCGATATTTATTTATTTAATTAATTTAATTTTTTTTTACATTATATTTTAAGTGTTACCGCAGGCATTAATGAGTAGGATGACACATAAACAAACATTATATTAGGCTGTAAGTCATGTCATGTTTATTGGGTGTGTCTGCCCGTATACTGTGTGTAGAGTGTTGAGATGGTGGAGATGAGAGGCCCAGAAGGAGGTTGGAGCTTGTGAAGGGAGTTAGTTTATGTATAATTATAATCACCTGACTCAGCCATAGCTGACCAGCCAGGGGGCCAGGCTATTGGGTGGGCATTTCAGTATAGCTACCCATATCTTAGAGTCAACACCTACCCTGGCTTCTCTCTAGACTTTCAACACGTAAGTTTAACTAGTACTTATTGTGTACACAGGTAGACTGTGTCCATTACATCATTTGTCAGTGTGACAATACAGTATAGAAATACGGCAAATTGAGTATTCATTGTAAGTGTTAAGAGTAGACTAATTACATAGCCATGATTGTTATGTAAATATATATTGGATTAAACATTTATGTAAGAGTGCCTATGTATGACTTATTTGAAATACTAAATGAATTGTATTCAACAGGTTTGACCGAATTATAATGTTTGTGTCCAACGTACGAGTCTAAATATCCTTTAACCGCCTGACTGGCAGTTATAATAAGTACTGTATATACATAATTTACAGTGGAATTGAAAAACATAAATATGATAAGGGAGGGAAGCAGTACAACATGGGTTGTATTAAGGTGGAACAAGAGAACAGAGCTGTCAGGATTATGTCTAGTTGGCAAATATATTTATTGCAATGGTAATTTCTATCTATCTACATGATAATTTCTGATAAAACGGTTTTGGTGGTACAATAAAAGCAGGTATATAAAGTAGGTATTACAAAAAATATTAATACTCAGACAATACAGTAGATATTTCTTAAGAGATGATTTAAATGAAGGGAGCGTAGTCTTTGCTCGGATGGGTGGGGTTAAGTTGTTCCTTACCTTCACACCATGATATTTTATGGAGGTCTGGGACTGAGATGAGCGCATTGGGGATGGTCTTAGTAGCTCTTGGTGTCTTAAGTTGTATCTTTGAGTATTCCGGAACTAGAAATAATTGTTGTCAAGCAAGTGATTGACAGATTTGTAAACAAATAGGGCACAGCAGTAGGTGTTAGTATCCTCGAATTTTAACATTTTCAATTTTGCAAATTGTTCGTTTGTGTGATCAGTTTTTTCAAGTAGGCCATTGTCCGCACAACTCTCTTTTGTGCAGTAACCAGGGATTGTGTTTTTGAAGAACCAGATGCCCCCCCCCCATAGTGTGTTGATAAACAAGTCCATAATAGATTTCTTCCATTGCTGTAAGAGTGAGTGACTGACGAGTGTGATACATGATATCGCACTGTTTATTGACTTCATAGTGAATGTCTTGTATGTGGTTTCTCCAGCTAAGTTTCTCATCGACAATAACCCCAAGGAATATATTATTTTGTTCGCGTTTGAGGACTGTATTACCAAGGTACAGGGGGTCCAAATCTGGGGGTAAGTTTTTCCTTCTGTGAAAGATTATGTAGTGTTTTTTTTTCGAGGTTTAGGGTCAGTTTGTTACGTTTTACCCAGGTCATGACTTTAGTCAATTCAGTGTTCACAGTTCTCATCAAGGAATGGAGGCCTGAGTTGCTGGCATAGAGATTACTATTGCCTGCAAATAAGTTGTATTTTAAGAGTGTGTTGGCTTGGACTATATCGTTTATGTACAACAAAAACAATACAGGACCGAGAATGGAGCCTTGAGGGACGCCATAGAAAATTGGTGAGGAGTCAGATTGATGATTATTATAGCAGACATACTGCGTCCTGTTAAACAGATATGAGGTAAACCAATTGTGGGACAGGCCCCTCACGCCATAATGTTCAAGCTTTGAAAGGAGGATGGTATGGTCGACAGTATCGAAGGTTTTAGAGAGGTCCAAGAATATACCGACTGTGAACCGACTGTCATCAAAGGAGTTGAAGATGTCATTAGTGAGGATAACAGAGCACTCGCAATCGACCTTCTAGCTCCAAATATAAACTGAGACTCTGTAAGGATGTTATTGACATTGCAGAAGGAATTTAGTCTACTACATGCTAGCTTCTCCAGTATCTTACTTAAGGCTGGGTGGACTGATATGGGGCGGTAATTCTTGAAGAGACCTTTGTCCCCAGATTTTTCATATGCCGGGTGAACTTTAGCAATTTTCAGTTTATCCGGAAAAACACCACTAGTGAAGGAGGAGAACAGGTAGTGGGCTACTCTCTTAATGATGCTCATTGGTATATAGTTGTCAGCTGCTGCTGCATCTTTGGACATTTTTATGATAGTCATTAATTCATCTACCGTGACAGGGGATAAGAACAGCTCCGTTTGCTGTCTGTTCAGCAGGTAGGCTCTAAATTCCTCATGGTGATCAGGGATGGTCTCTGTAAGATTTCTGCCAATATTAATAAAATAATCATTCAAGTGGTTGGTAATGAGGGAGGGTTCTGTTACAACTGTATCATTTATCATAAAAGCTGTGTGGGGGGTGGCGAAGGTTAAGTGTTCCTGTTTTGAATAGAATTTATGTTACTCCAGGTTTTCTTACTGTTGCCTAATGCTGACTGGAGCTTATTTGTATAATAGCTACGTCTCTCATTTCTAACTGCTTGAGTGACTCTATTTCTGATACTTCAGTAAGCATCACCGAAAGTTATGGGTCTTTTTGCAAATTTCCTTTGGAGTTTGTGTTTTTCTTTTATCTTTATCTTAATTTCGCTTGTGATATAGAGTTTGGAAATGGATACAGTTTTCACTGGCTTAGTCTTGAGGGGGAAGCATTCATCATAGGAAGCATTGAAGATGTGAGAGAAGTTGCAGCTGCTCACGTTAGGGTTGTTGGAGGCGTAGACAAGATCCCACATTGCATTCAGTAAGTTGTTTTCAAAAAAGGAGCATGTTGTCGGCGCAGTAGTTTCTGTATTGTATTGAGACTCTACTAGACCTTTCAGGTCTTGTGG